ACGCATTGAATAACTCGTTAATGGTAAATAAGTCCATTTGCATTCCTTAAGTCCCCTTGAAAACAACTATCGGGCCCCGGGACTTATTTTGTTTCAGTTTGTCTATCTGTTTAATAACCATGTCCCTCGTGACAGAAATATTAGTTAACTTAAATTCATCAGGAACTAAATAATTGTTAATTACTGGAATCTCATTTACATCTTCCTGTTGTAAAAACTGACAAAAAATAGTCTTTAAAAATAAGGAACACATTTCCAGTTCATTATCCGTCAGCTGTCCTTTCCCAGATTCAGGGGTCCTACTTTTTCCTTCACCTTCGTCCTATACACTTGAAAGAACCCCTTTGATTAGTCTTTGATTCATTAGCGACTCTAATTTCATAGTCACGTTTAGCCTTTCTAATCGCCTTTTTACTTCTCTTTTAAGCTGAACATATTGGTCGTAAGGTTAACCTCTCCTCTTCTGATGCGCCTATAAATTTCCCCCTTTTTCCCCCCTAATAGATGCTTTAAACCTCCTTTTAAAACCCATTTGGGATCGTTATTATTAGACCAAATTTCTCTCTGGGGAATGTATATACTCTGGGCACTGTGTAACATTATTAAGAAAAAAAATCATAAAAGCAGATCCTTCATATTCATAAGTATGATTATCGTCAATAAAATCATTAGCTAGATAACCCCAATCAAGATTAGACGATGTTCCCTAAGTCCATTATAATCGGCAGAACGAAAATCGGGGATTTTTACTGTATTATCATTATTCTTGCATTCCCAATTAATGCTAAAGGTGATGGATTTGTGATCACTTGCGCCAAGCTCTTCAGTGATCTCCAGATTATTCACTAGTGTTTCCTTATTTGACAAGACTAGGTTCTAGCAAATTATTACCCCGGTAGGTTCAGTTACACTCTGTTTCAGAAAACAGTCCTGAACTGTTTCCATGAAGTCACTGGACCTAGATTACCTGTCAAAGAATTCCAGTAAATTTTGGGCTAAAGTTAAAGTCCCCTACTATGACTACGTTACTGTGTCCAGAAGCCCTAACAATTTTGTCCCAAAGAAGTCTCCCTCTATCGTGATCCAAGCCTGGAGGTCGGTATATTACACCTAGAATTAGTTTTTCGTGACCCTCCACGAACTCTAAACCCCAAAAAGACTCTGTTACTGCTCCATCTATTTTTATACCTTTTTTTTTATGCAACATTAATATTTTCTGAACATACAATGCAATCCTCCCCCCTTCCATTAATCTATCCACAAATTTAATACTAAATCCCTGAATATTACACTCAGCAGTCATATCCCGACTCTTTTAAAATCATTAAACCCCGTTTTTAGTTAATGCAATGATATCAAAAATTCCCAGCATGTATTTTCAACCTAAATTTGAAACTACCCAAAGTCCTAGCCTCAATAACCCAACTAGGTAGACTGTTCCACTCATCAACTACCCTATTTCCAAACCAATACTTTCCTATGTCCTTTCTAAATCTAAACTTATCTAATTTAAATCCATTACTGCGGGTTCTCTCTTGGAGAGATATCCTCAAGACCTTGTTAATATCCCCTTTATTAATACCTATCTTCCACTTATACACTTCGATCAGGTCTCCCCTCATTCTTCGTCTAACAAGTGAATGTAACTTAAGAGTCTTAATGTAACTTAAGAGTCTTAATGTAACTTAAGAGTCTTAATGTAACTTAAGAGTCTTAATGTAACTTAAGAGTCTTAATGCAACAGTTAGACAACTTTATTTCGAAACGTTTCGCCTACACAGTAGGCTTCTTCAGTCGAATACAGAAAGTAGGCAGGAACATTAGAGAGTGAAGACGATGTAATCAGTCCATCACCCTTGTAGTCGTAGAATTTGAGGTTGTCAGTCCCTCGGCCTGGAGAAGTTCAGTTCCATAGTCAGGAACTATCTGAAGATCAAGCGACAGTGCAGAGACTTAAATGCTGTCGGAAGGAGAGGTGCAGGGTAGTAGTAGTAGTAATGAGAATGGAGCCACTGAGAGGTCATGTCCCTCTCAGATCCAACACTTCTCACTTGAAAAGCTTGTCAAAGGTGTTTTCTGTACCAAGATGCCATGTGTTGCAGTGTCTGACAAGATGAACATCAAAATGGTATACAATACCGACAGGTTGTTAGGTAAGACACATATGCAACAGTTAGACAACTTTATTTCGAAACGTTTCGCCTACACAGTAGGCTTCTTCAGTCGAATACAGTCGAATACCATTTTGATGTTCATCTTGTGATGGTTGGGGAAGACAGGGTGTCGTGAGATGATGGTAGAAGACAAGATGTCTTGGTATGGTTGGGGAAGATAGGGTGTCTTGTGATGGTTGGGAAGGACAGGATGTCTTGTAATGGTTGGAGAAGACATGGTGTCTTGTGATGGTGGTGTAAGACAGGGTGTCTTGTGATGGTTGGGGAAGACAGGATGTCTTGTGATGGTTGGGGAAGACAGGATGTTTGTGATGGTTGGGGAAGAACAGGATGTCTTGTGATGGTTGGGGAAGACAGGGTGTCTTGTGATGGTTGGGGAAGACAGGGTGTCTTGTGATGGTTGGGGAAGACAGGGTGTCTTGTGATGGTTGGGGAAGACAGGGTGTCTTGTGATGGTTGAGGAAGACAGGGTGTCTTGTGATGGTTGGGGAAGACAGGATGTCTTGTGATGGTTGAGGAAGACAGGGTGTCCTGTGATGGTTTGGGAAGGCAGGGTGTCTTGTGAAGGGTTTGGGGAAAAACGGGGTTTTGTCTTGTGATGGTTGAGGAAGACAGGGTGTCTTGTGATGGTTGAGGAAGACAGGGTGTCTTGTGATGGTTGGGGAAGACGGGGTGTCTCGTGATGGTTGGGGAAGACGGGGTGTCTTGGGATGGTTGGAGAAGACAGGATGTCTTGTGATGGTTGGGGAAGACGGGGTGTCTCGTGATGGTTGGGGAAGACGGGATGTCTCGTGATGGTTGGGGAAGACGGGGTGTCTTGTGATGGTTGGAGAAGACAGGATGTCTTGTGATGGTTGGGGAAGACAGGACGTCTTCTGATGGTTGGGGAGGACAGGATGTCTTGTGATGGTTGGGGAAGACAGGATGTGAAGGCTTACTCAGCCCTGTAACAACTTCAGTCAGTATTACTAAGGTTGGCTCCTCCTCAGGAAAATTAATGAATAGAAAAAGAAATAATAATTCACAAATATAAACGCTTTATTATTTAGTAAAGCAAACATAAAACAATAAAACATGAAAGGTATATCCTATCTGAAAGAAAAATGAAAAAATTAAATGAATAAAATAACTTTTTGAAATCACGCTAATATATATAGGGGTGTCTGGTGTTGGTGACACTGCGTGTTGTTGAAATCGTAGCAGTTGCTGATGATGGGGGGGGGGGGGTCGCAGGTGTTGGGTTAACAACCCACCGGTTCGTTCTTCACAGTATAGCCATGAGTATTCTACCCCGATGACAGGAAAGCGGTTCTTTACCGCTGCAATGATGAGGGGTTACGTCATGCAATTTCTTTACAGGTGCACAGGTAATTAAATCCAAAAAGGGGAAGTCTCAGGACGTTAGTCCATCTCCATCAATTCTACTCGTTGATGGCAGGTGACACTCTCTGTCATCCAAGCTGGAAAAGATAGACGGGTTACCCACTGCTTAAAAAAATCACTCTACATGTTAAGTACAATACCTAAAAGATGTGGTGATTATTAAAACAGTCAACTTAGAGCAAGACTGAAAAGGACTAAGTTTTTTTATTGGTCAAAAGTGAAGCTTTTAACCAATAAATCCACTAGAATACAAGGCAGGCATGTACTTACAGTAGTGCTGGAGCTGTGAGTCTAGTGATTACTGTTTGGGCCGGACCCCTGCACGTCACCTTTCGGGGGGGGGGGGGGGGGAAAGAAGGAGGGGAAGGGATAGCAGGAGCTAGACTGACCTCCCTTAACAAGCAGCTGGCAATCAAACTATCACTTTTGGGGTGGGGGGAAAAAGGCGTGAATAGCGGGAGCTGGACTTACCCTACCTTAACAAGTACCCGGCAATGAAACTATTGTTATTAATACTCATCGCTATCCTTTATCTATTGAACTTTTCCCTCACACCCCCCCATACCAAGACTTATAGTCAAGGAGTATAAGAAGAATAGGTGAGGAAAAAGTTCAACATACGGAAGTCGCATAAGGCAAGAAATCTTCTACTGTCACGACTTAAACCAGTAGAGAAATAATTGGATGA